TAACACCACCGGTAGTTCTAAGAACCGGTAAAACCAACCCCTGATTGGCCCCGCCCCTCCCCGCCGCTCCTACAGGCCAAAAACCAGTTTTTATTACTGCGCATGCGCAAAAATCCCTTCCTCATTCTCCCCCGCCCCCCCCTCCCTTCGCTGCTCTGGCCCCCGCCCCTATCCACCACTCCAAAGTAAAAAAAAACCTTTTTTTTTTAAAAAAAGTTTTTTTTTACTGCAGATGCGTGAAAATATCTTCCTCATTCTTCCCCGCCCTGCCCCACTTGTGCGCTAATTACAAAAATTTACCTGTGTGGCGCCATCGCTCACACCACCACCACCAGCAGCAGCAGCAGCTGAGCCAGCCAGCCAGTCAGCCGTCCCTGCCTGCCTTCTGCTGCCCTGCTGAGTGAGGGCAAGCCGCAAGTCCCAGTTGCCACCGCTGCTAACTGGCCTCACCTGGCTGGCCTGCTTTGCCCTGCCTGCCTCCCGCCACCACTGCTAGCCATCCTCGCCTGCCCGGACTGCCTACCCTGCCGCCGGCCTCCGAAGACACAGATCGGTAAGCACGACCTCTAACCTGGTCACCTACCTACCACCGCCAGTCCAGGATGACCGCCCTTGCTGATGCTCCCTTCCTCTCTCACCCCCATCTTCCCTCACCCGCGGCCCTCCATTGTTGCTGCCTTGCCTTCCCACCACCAATTGGTAGTGAGGAGGCAAAGCAGCAATTCCTGCTGCTGGCCCGGTCTGCTACCTCCTCCTGCTGCCACCGCCGCCCCCAGCCGGGTTGAGAGCTGACTCCGGGCCAGGCGCTACTGCCTTGCCCCCATGGAGGCCACCATCTTGGCTAGGCTGCTGGCCCTCCACCTTCCCTCGCCCGCCGCGGCCCAAGGGTTGCTGCCTAGCTTTCCCACCACCGATTGGGAGTGAGGAGGCAAAGTAGCAAGTCCTGTTGGCCCGGTCCCCTACCTTCTCCTGCCACCTCCGCCACCAGCCCAGTCAAGAGCCGAGTCCTGGGCCGGCCATCCTCGCCGCAGCAAGCTAGAAGACTGAGGAGGACCCCAGCGTAGTTGGCTAGCCAACTTGCCTGTCTCCTTTTTGGTAAGTTGCTTTTTTATATTTATGTATTTATGTATATTTTTACTATCTGTTTTTGTTTTTATTAATCATAAAAACAAAACAGATGTCCCTGTGGGAGGGCATTATTTTACTATTCATCTTGATGTTTCTTTCTCCTTTGCTTAAAGTAACATCAAGATGAATAGTAAAATAATTTTTATTTATGTGTTTATTTATTTATTTAGTATCTGTTTTGTTTTTATGATTAATAAAAACAAAAACAGATAGTAAAAAATAAATAAATACATAAATTTATTTCTTCTTCCTCTGCCACCCACTGCTGTTGCTTCCTCTGCCGCCTTCTGCCCATGCGTTGCCGCATTTGGAGTGCTGTGCATTTCTTCACCAGCAGTGTTTCAGCCGCTTCTCGGTCGGGGAAGCCGTAGCTTCCACGGTTCCTGCCGGCGCTGGCGCCTCTCTCACCAGCGCCATCTCCAACAACAGCAGCAGCGGTGAGACAGACCCCACTGCTGACGAGAACTGCCTGCCCTCCCACAGGGACATCACTTTGATTGACGGCAGCTGCGTCGACAAGGTCCTGCAAGTCAGTGAGTCTTTTGGGGTTGAGTGGATGGAAGAGGCAGTGGGAGGGTGATGCGATCATTTCTCTCCCCCCACCCACGCCTCACTTTGCTTCCCGCCCCAGAGTTTCGGGTCATGGTCTCGTCCCTTGTATGGTCGGGCGCTCTCCTCTTGCTCCAGCCACCCAAAACCTCCCCGGTAGACCCTTTCTCCCCTATTTAAGTTTTCTTTACTCTCATTCCCTCCATCAGTTCCCTAAGAATACAGACTGGTCTGGCAGCTTCTTCCCCACCCCTTCCAGTAGTTTTAAAAAGGGAACCATCTATCCATTTTGCCCTTTGAGCAGAGGCAAACCTTCCAATCCAAACAGAAGAGACAGGGGATAATCCTACAGACTCTTAACACCAAGCTTCCCAGAGGATTCTCCCAAAAGATTCACCCCAAAGGAGGGGAGTGCATTTAAGGGGGTGAATCCTCTTTCACATTCATATTTTTTTTTATCTTCCCCTGTATTTCATTCTGTAGTTTCCAATTCTCCTTATTTTTTTTAGCTGTATATGCTATTGTAATTCCTCTCACATATGCCTTAGTATCCAATAAATTCTGCAGGGTAGCATTTTGATTCCAGTTTATCATAAAGAATGTTTCCAATTCATTTTTCATCTTTTGATTATATTCCTATTGGGTATTATTTCTACTGTAACAATATCCTTTTCAATTACCCCAATCACCCACACCATATCAATTCTCGACCAGGACCTGTGCACATTGGAATAAAATGTATACTCATTATAATTTGAATTTCTTTTTTACCATGTATCTTCCAAATTAGTTTCTTTTATCAATTCGAAAAATGGTTTGGGTAAAGTTTTCTTTTTTCTTTTTTCAATTTGTTCTTTACTAATATAGTCTTTTTCAATATCCACAACGGCATTAAAATCCCCTACTAAGCAAATATTTTCTTGTTTTGTTTCTATTATTTTCTCATACAGTTTGTTATAGAACTCTTTTTGGTTATCATTGGGGGCATATATCCCCACCAATAATATTTGTTTTTGTTGAATTTTTAGTTCTGCCATTAAAATTCAGCCTTGTTCTTCCGCGTAAATTTGTTTGGCTTTTATTCCTTTCCTGATGTACCTTATTATCCCCCCTTTTTTTGATCCATCAATGCTGTATACAGTACTCCTAATTTGGGACAATCTAAGTATCTACTGTGTTGTTTTTGGATGTGTACCTCTTGGAGGCACACAATATCAACTTTATGTTTCACTAATTTAACCCAAGTTTAATTTTAATTTTATAATTTTAATAGTAATCATACCTCTTCAGCCCTTATTCTTAATACTGGTACACCACAGGGTTGTATGTTGAGTCCCTTACTCTATACTCTTTATATGCATGACTGCATTCCTACTCACGCTATAATACTGTTGCTAAATTTTCAGATGATACAACAGTGGTGGGACTTATCTCTGGGGGGTATGAGTCTGCCTATTGAGATGAGGTAAACCGGTTGCTTTCATGATGTGGAGACAATAACTTGGTCCTCAACACCAATAAGACCAAGGAGCTTATAGTGGAAGGAACAGATCAGACCTCCAGCCCTTGCTTTTCAATGGAGACCAAGTGGAGCAAGTGACCAGTTTTAAGTTTCTGGGTGTTACCCTAAAAGAGGACCTGACCTGGGGTGCCCACACTGCAGCCCTGGTCAAAAGGGCCTAGCAGAGATTATACTACCTGAGGCTTCTCAGAAAACAACTGAATGAGAAACTGCTGGTGACCTTCTACCGCTGCACCATGGAGAACATTTTAACATACTGCACCTCTGTATGGTTTGCCAATTGCACAGTGGCAGATAGGAAAGCACTCCAGAGGGTTAATGTCATTGCCCAGAAGATCATGGGTTGCCCTCTCCCCTCTTTAGAAGAGCTTTATAGCTCCTGCTGCCTTAAGAAAGTTCAAAACATTCTCAAAGATCCATCTCCTCCTGGGAACCCCTTTTTTTAACTATTACCATCTGGCAGATGGTACAGAATAATAAAAACAAGGAAAATTGGCTGAAAAACAAGACTATCCCAGGTCAGTAGCTGTTTTGAATTCTGCTGTATAGTGCAGTGTTGGTGTGGTGTCAGAGGTTTCCGGTTCAATGTGTGGAGGGTGAAGGATGTGTGTTTGTGTTTATTTTCATGGTCATGGTCATGATGTGCACTGAAGATGGTGTTTGATTTCTTTGTACAAGGTGCAATGACAATGAAGTAAACTAAACTAAACTAAGTTTGTTTCCTCTTAGCCAGGGAATTTAACCTGTTAATGTTTATTGAAATTAGTTTAATTTCTTCATCCATTTTACTAGTTGTAGGTCTGTCTTGGTCTTCTGTTGGTTCTTACTACTCTTTGTATTCTTACTCTTAGTACTTCTCTCCTTGGTTTTTCTCTCTCTTCCTTGTCTTTTTCTTCTTGTTCCACTTGTTGTATCTCCTGTTGCTGATCTTCATGGCTTCTGCTTTCCAACTCTTCTTTACTACTGATTTCTTCTTCTGATCCCACCAACTGTTCACACAATTCTTGTGCCTTATCAATACTGTCAATTCTAATTCTTCTTTCTTGCCAAGTCACCAGCATTCCTTTAGGGACCATCTGAACCATATATTTTGTTTATTTAGAAGTGATGCTAGGAATCTATAGTCTTTCCTTTGTTCCCTCACTCACTTGGGAATCTGTTTCAATGTTACATTTTCTTTTTTAATATACATCTTTTGTAATCTTGTAAATAATATCTCTCACCTTCTTCCTCGCAAATCGTATGTGCATCTCTCTTGGCAGCTTGTGTCTCCTCACATCATTGGTATGTATTCTGTAGATCTCATCGAGTTCATTCACAATTTCTTGCCAATCCCTCTGTAGTGCTTCCACTATCAGTTGTGACATTATAGCTCCTAGATCTTCCTCTTTAGCTTCTGGCACATTTTGAAATCTCAAATAGAATGCAGCACATTCCATTTCTAGGTGCACTATCAAATCTTCCAGGTCTTTATTCATTGCCATTACTTTCCTGTCCATCACTTTCAACTTCTTTTCCGTTTGTTCCACTTTAACTTCTACATTTTTTAATTTTTTGCTTGTTTCTCTCTATTGTTTGCTGGATCGTACCTATTTTATCATGCAGTTTGTGGATCTTGTCTTTCATCTCTCCCATCTCTGTCTTCAATTCTGTCTGATTTTTCGACATCATCTCCTACATTTTAAACATTGTTTCCTGAATGGCTAACAGTGTTGTTTGCATTGCTTGCATGTTGGTGGTGTTACTTGTCTTTTCTGCACTGAGCATCCTTTCAATTGTATTTTGACCAGCTGGCAATGCAATGGACAGAGATGAACCTGATGTCATTTTTTTTGCCTTTCAGTGTCGTTATTGTGGTGCTTGTCATGTTCTTTAGCTTACTATATAGTACTTCCCACTTCACCATCCACAGTTGTTTACACACTTCACTTTCTATCCACTCTATCCACACTATTCAGCACCATCTTTCACTATATGTCTTTTCAATTATATACAGTGTACTACAATATTTATATTATATATCTCCTTAAACCAAAATTAGGTGAAATGTCAATTGTTATTTAGAAAAAATATTCCAAAAGGAAAATCCAGTGTCCTCTATATCAGGGGTCCCCAACCACCAGGCCGCGGACCAGTACCAGTCCGTGGAACATTTCCTACCGGGCCACCGGTTTGCTGGGCGCCGCCATCTTGTTTGATGAGAAAGTGTTTCTGGGTGAGCTTTTCCAGTTGGAAAGCGGCGTTTGGGTCCTGAAGGAATCCTCGCGCCTTAGTTTCATCGAAGGGGGGGGGGCTTCGAACGAAACTAAGGCGCAAGGATTCTTTCAGCACCCAAGGCAAGGCGAGCCGAGTGACAGTCCCAAAGCCGTCCCGAAGCGAAGCCCATCGACAAAGGTACAAAGGAGGAAGTTGGCGGGGAGAAGCGGGGGACGGCTGGCTGGTCAGTCGCTCGGCTCGCCTTGCCTTGTCATGCATGCTGATGCCGGTACCGGGCCATGGATCATTTTGTGATGCCGGTACCGGGCCGTGGCACAAAAAAGGTTGGGGGCCACTGCTCTATATATACATGTGGCCACTTCAAAGACCTTCTGGAAGCTGCAACAGTGCATACTGCAGCTATCTGATGAATAAGTAAAATAACTAAAAAATTGCTGCCTTCTTGCCGGTTGGTTCAAGTTCCAATGAGAAGACCACTTAGTGGTGGTGCCCCAATTACAGATATATCTCTCTAGAGAAGTACATTCAACCTTAAGATTCCTAGAAACAATAAAAGACATTTCTATCTCTTTGTTTCTTAAATGAATTCTGGATTAATTTTTTACTTTTACTGGATTTATTAATTATGATTGTTTTTATTATTATTATTATTATTGTTTAATTATGGGCTGCTCCAAGTGGAAGACGGGTCTAGAAATAAAATAAAAAATAATGAAAATTCCATAAAGTAATCCCCTTAATTTTATATATTGTACCAGTAAAGAGATATACGTATAAGAAGATTCTGTGTTTCATTGCCCAGTTCTATAAATAGGAATAATGACACAGAAACTTCAGATAAGGCATTGTATTCAGAGATGGAGAGAGGTGGAGAAATGGTCAAAGAAAAGTACAACACAGCCTTCTTTGCAGCTTTAATCCTAAGCAGTTTTCCTTTAAATATAGCTATATTCTTTTTGCTGCTCGTGGTCCAGCATTGTTTGAACTGAAATGAAGGTGAGGAAAGCCACTTTTCTATTGCTCAAATCAGACATTTTCATTGGGGACAGAAAGGTAAAATTGGGAATATAAAATATCACATTAAAAACCAACTTCATATTATTCCATTTTTCTTTTTAGGTGGATTCAGCGGTGATGCTAGAAATAGACTTACATATAATGAATCTAAAAAAGTACAGCATGTTCAATGGGAAGAGGTGGAATCAGAAGATGAAAGAACTTGGAAAGGAGTTACTACAGCTGAGGATACTAGTAGCCCTTCCACCACACAAACTATTACGGCCGATACTAACAGTCTTTCCACCACCCTAACTACTACTGCTGAGAGTACTAACAGCCTTTCCACCAGGCAAACTACTACTGCCGAAACTACTAACAGCCATTCTACCACCCTAACTACTACTGCCACGAGTACTAGCAGCCCTTCCACCACCCAAACTTCTACTGCCGAGAGTACTAGCAGCCCTTCCACCAC